GTATGGAGGTTGCGATGTCTTCATTGAAATATCTTTACAATAGTTATTATAATTATACAAACTGTGACCACAGAAAAAAGAAAATTATCATCAGCGACGATGTTCATGAAATTGGATGAGGAGTCACAGCAGCAGCAGCAAGCAGTAGCTGCAACAACAGATGATCAGCAGCAAGCCCATCTGAGACTGTCAACACAGGAGGCAATTTGGTCCTTACTTAGGCAGAACAATCAGGACCACAACATTCAACAGCAACAGCAGCAGCAGCAGATGTTGCTGCAACAACAGCAACAGTTTTATCAACAGCAGCAGCAGCAACGACATCATGAACAACAACAACAGTTATATCCCCACCTACCCCAGCAAATTCTTCAACACGGGGGTGTTCATCAACATTCTCCTATCTACCCACCTATGAATTATCCTTCTCATCCACAACCACGCCATCCTCTCCAACAACATCTTCTGGCACAGCAGCAGCAGCAACAACAACAACAACATCTGTATAACCAACAGCAGCAACAACAACAACATGGTAATAATAGCAACAATGTTGCGATGATTTTGCAACAGATGCAGAAGCACCAGCAACAACAGCAGCAGCAGCACCAAGCAGCTGCCATGTTGCAGAATCTTTCCGGAAATTCCAGGGTCAATAGTTCAAGTTATGGGCAATTAATATCCAGGAGAGCTATTGTTAAAGGTTTGTTTTTGTTTTTGTTGTTGAGGTTCTTGTTGTTGTTGGTGATGTTTCTGTTGTTGTTGTTTATAATTGTGGTTAGTGATGATGTTTGTGTTGGCTCTAGCAGTTATAATTGTGGTGACAATTAGGATGGTGTATGTTGCTGCTTTTGTTGTTAGTGCTGTTGCTGTTGTTTGTCGTTGTTGTTGTGAATGATTGTTGCTGTTGTGAATGGTTGTTGTTGTGGTTGCTAGATATGATTGCTTTGTTCTTGTCGGTGCTGGTGCTGCTAGATTTCAGTCTCTGGTCGGTCTGCTGGGCTGGGTTCGGTTTTTTGAACTGTTGTCCATTGTAGGGATTTTTATTGCCTTCAGAAACATTAATGGTTTTCGTTATTATTATTATATATTATTATTATTTATTATTTCGATATTAATAAACTATCATTTCGTTATTATAGTTATTATTATTATTATTTTATTATTAAAATATAATCCGAATTTTTTATTTCCTCCAACCAACCAACCAGGTGCAACTGGCCCTCTGACATACACCCCCATGCCCATAGAACACTGCCAACCCCCAACGTCATCTGCAGCAGCGGTCGTTATGAATGGTGGCCACACGTACACTGGAGCCGGTACTTCTCAGCAGAAATCCGTTCTAGCTGCCATCCAACAGGCCTTAACTTCATCCTCTTCCTCGTCATCTTCTTCCTCATCATCAGCTGTGGCTGGTAACGTTGTAGGCGGAACAACTGCTGGCGTTAATCAGCAGCAGCTGCTGATGCAGCAGCAGCTTCAGCAGCATCATTTCAAGCAGACGAGTGAAGTGATGGTAGCGGGAATGGATGGATGGATGGCAGGTGGAGGAGGTGGTGGTGGGCGTGTACAGAATCATGTTTAGTTCTGATTGGTTAGTTGGTTGTCTGTATGTTTATACTTTGTATGTTGTTGTTGTTGTTGTCATTGTTGTTGTTGTTGTTTGTCGATCACATGGAACGTCGTCCTTCATAACCTACCTTATACAATTCCATTCATTCAATGTTCTCATTTTTCCTTCATTGTTGTTTAAACAAAATTAATTTTTCTTTTTTTTCGCCGTATAGACAAGTTGCTATTCAAATTTTGAAGAAAAAGAGGAAAGAGAGAGGGAGAAAGAGAGGGGAGAGAGAGGAAGAGAAAAAGAAACAGTCATCTATAATAATAATAATAATATTAATAATAATGATAATAATCTGGAGGAAGAATGTACAGGAAAATATTGTTAACCTCTAAATAATTTTTTTTTCTTTTCTCTTTTATTTTTATTTTATTTTTTATGTAAAAAAAATGTAATCAAAAAAATTATTCCTTTTTTCATCTGTTTATTATTTAATTATTACTATAATTATTGCTACTATTATTACTGTTGTAACTTATTTTTATTATTGTAGCATATTATTATTATTGTTGTTATTATTATAATTTTTATTATTTTTATCTTGACAGTTTGTTCATCTCGTCAGAAGTTGAAATATGACAAAAAATCATTTTTTTATTTTATTTAATTTTCATTTTATTTTTCTTCGTTTCGTGTTCAAAAGAATTTTTTTTTTTCAAAAAGAAAAATGGATATTTCATTTTTATTATTTCATTTTTGTGTTTCAAATTAATAATAATAGTTATTAAATAAATTTATGATAATATTATTATTATTATGCAATTTATAGTTCACATTTTTAAAGCACCTTTTATTATTATTATTATTATTATTATTGTGATATATGTATATATATATATATATATATATATATATATATATATATTATGTTTATGTATATATAGCTATCTTTTTTGTGATTGACATTAATTAATTAATTAAAAATATAATAAACTTATCATTTAATGATAGATATTATTAATATTGTTTCAATAATGACCGTGTTTGTCAATTATTATCAATAATTGTTGCTCTTATTATTATTATTGTTGTTGTTATTGTTATTACTGTTATTTTGTTATTTTATTGTTATTATTATTATTATTATTCCGATTCTTCTTAATAGAAATGTATAGAGACATACGTACAAACATCATTCATTTAGGCTTATTTCTTTTCTCCATAATTTTTTGGATTTAATAGTTGTGTAAATAATAAATTTCTGTTCGGTTGTAATAACCTGTTTTTGTTATTATTATTATTATTTAACTATATAGATGTGTGAGTGTGTGTGTGTGTGTGTGTGTGTGTGGTCTTTTCTTTGCGCGCGTGTGTTTTGTTGCGGGAGTTAGTGTTTTATTAAAGATAATTATTATCGTTGTTGTTTTTATTATTATTATAGTTTCAATTGAGGATATGGCGATTATTATTATTAATTTTTATTATTATCGTTTATTATTATTATTGTTATTTTTTTTATTATGTTGGCAACTTTAAATTTTTTCAAGAAACTTATCCGACGTTAACACTAATGATGATAATATAATGATGATTGAAATTATATTATTTTCAATAATTATGTAATAATAATAATAATAAGGATAATTGTTATTACGGTGATAATGAAAGTAATTGTATCGATGATGTTAACGCTTTTTCGATGATGAGAATTCGTTTGATGTATCAGTAGAGTTCCTGGCAATGTTGCTACCATTACCATGCGGTGACCAGGTTCGCTTGGGAAGAGATCCCTGCCTATACTGGTTTTACTAGAAATAATACAACCTGTCCAACATCTTCGAAACATTTTACAACACTTCCGAAACATTTCACAACACTTTCAAAATGTTTTACTAGATTTCCAAAACGTTTCACATTTTCAAAAGTATTTCACAACTCTTCCAGAACATTTTACAGCATTTCCAAAACATTTCACAACTCTTCCAGAACATTTTACAACATTTACAACAAAGTTTTAAATTAAGTTTAAATTAAAGTTAAATTAAGTTTTAAGTTTTACAACATTCATTTTTATGGATCCCACTTCATCATAAAGACTCTTGAGTTCAGTGGTTAACTAAGGTTGAAAGATAACAACGATATTTTATTTCAAAGAAACCAGAAGTCCATCTGGACTTGTTTGGTCTCTGCAATAATGTTGAACAAAAAGTCTTAAAAACCGTCAAAATGAAATGTCCCAATAAGCAGAATCAAATAGACTTCTGAAATTAAACGAAATTGACCCAATAAATAAATGAAAAATTTAACTAAATTTCTAATATAAAGCATAATTAACAAAATTTATACATGAAATAAACAAAATTAACTTGATTTCTAAAATTGAACATTATTAACATATACAAATTAAATAGTTCAAAAACATTGTTTTATTCATGGGACAGAAAAGTTTAAGATGTAATATATTTTGGAAACGCAAGATATCTTGACTAAGTTGTAAAATTTCCTGGATAAGTTGTAATATTTCTCGTAAAGTTTGTAACATGAAGTGTGTGTGTGTGTGTGTGTGTGTGGTAGAAAAGGAATGTGTGTGTGCGTGTGTAGAAAAGGAATGTGTGTGTAGTGTGTGTACGCGCGCAATTGCGAAACCACCAAATTTCCAAAATGATGATGCAACTTTCAGCCGATAATTGAAATACGCTCTATTTACTTGCGGCCTGATACATACAAACGAATAAGAACTTTTACGAACAAAGTCTCGATTAAATGTGCCTATTTATGTGTGTATGCAGGTATTTGGTAACGTTTTGAGTGTACTAATTTGTGATGGTTTGTTGGGTATTTATTGAGGAGTGAGCTAAGCAAGGAAGTTGATTAATACGTTTGTAATGTTGGAATAATGTGAAATTAAGTTTTTTTCGATTTGACAGTTTTTTGTTTTTCGCTTATAAAGTTCTTATAACTTTCTTTTTTGGAGGTGGTTTTGAAAAGATGGTAAGATAAAATCCGGATGACTTCTGTTAAATCCGGATAACTTCAGTTAATTTTTGGTAAGTTTTTTATGTTTTTTTTGGTCTTTATTACGCTTTAAATTGTATAAAAAGCAAAATATTTGTTACATAGATAACGAACGTACGCATCGTATAGCGTATTTTGTTGTTTTGAATTGTATTGTAATGAAATGTATTGTATTGCATTGCGTTGTGTTGTGTTGTATTGTATTGTATGGTTATATTGTATTGTAATGTGCTGTATTATTGTATTATATTGTAATGTATGGTATTGTATTGTAATGTAATGTATTGTATGGTTATATAGTATGTAT